AACTGGGGGGTTCAAAGCATCTTTCAGTGGTGGGGCAACACATCCAGAGCTGGGCTGGGCACAGCCTGTTTGAACCCTGTTTAAAGGGACATCTCTCCAGCCCAGGCAGCTGATTTCTCTCACATCTATTCCTCCATCTTAGTCTCGTCCACATCAACTGGCAGAACCTCTCCTGTTTTCAGATTATGTGTCTAGAACAGTGTTTCTCAACCTTGGCCACTTGAAGATGTGTGGACTTCAATTCCCAGAATTCCCCAGCCAGCCATGCTGGCTGTGGAATTCTGGGAATTGAAGTCCACATACCTTAAAGTAGTGACTAAGGTTGAGAAAGACTGGTCTAGAATATTTAGGCTTCAGGTTCATTATTAGTGCTCCTTGTGAGCAGTTTTACTTTATCTAGGACTAAATGAGGAATTTAGGTATTCTCAAAAATGTTCTCCAGCACCATAATTCATAGGCATTCATGTTTCTTCGTTCAATCTTCAGTCCCCCTTTAGCTTCTTCTATACCTATCTGCATTGGGTTGACATTGCCTGTTGACAGTGATGTGGGGTTTTTTTTCACCATTGAGCAGTAGGTCAGCTTTCTCCCTGCAATTTTAATTCCAATTTCTAGTTTTTCTAGTCCAGCATTTCTCGTGATTTATTCTGCATAGAAGCTCAGTAAACAAGGGGACAGCATGCAAAATAGTTGGGCTACCAAACCCTTATTTCCCAGCATCTTCCAGCAATCAACACTTTCTGACTCGGTTAATTCCTCCTTTTCTTTTTCTTTTTTCAGTCCTAACTTTTTTTCATTTGCGGTTGCCAAGAATTGTCCCAAAGTGGTATTTTATTGTTCAGAAAAACTGCAGTCATGCAAAGCAAGCCTCTCATTCAGCCAATTTACAGCCTAAGATTTTCAGTCACCAGATTTCTTCAGGGCATACCTTACAATGGAAAAAGCAGTGACTTGGAAAGTCCTATCTTCTGAAGACCCTTATCTTCCATAAAAGCTAAGCCATTTCAAACCAATACAATTACGTGGCCAGTTTATGAAAAGACATAGATTGTTTGCCTAAAACACAGCTTTTTCGGTTTCTGATTACTGTATTTCAGAGATATTTAACGCTGTCCTTGCTCTCTCTGCTGAAAGCACCCCAATCTAGACCAGTGTTCATTCTAGCAATGGACACCAAGATGCTCCTGGAAGCTTCCAGGTCCCTCATCAGTTCCAGCCCCTGTCATTCATGCAAAGAGAAAGATAATATGAAGAGGCCTGCTTGATCAGCCCAAAGCTCCATCTCACACAAGGTTTCTCTTCTGGAAGTAGAAAGGCAGAATGTGTGCTGCAGCGTGAAGACTGCACTTAGCAGTCACGATGAATGGCTGTGCTTGTCAACAGAGCTACTTCCATCAAGGTATCCAAACTGTTCAACATCAATAACGCACCCATCCTACTCCCTGTTGGCATCAAACTGGCAGGAAAAAAAATGGCATGGTCTGGTTGGAGGGATGGTTGTTTTTAGTTTAAGGTCTCTTTTCTTGAAAGACTGGCTTGATGGAAAGGTGATATCTTGCATACCTAAAAGAACCACCGGCAGGATCAGAAATGCGAAGTACTTCATCTAAATCAGTTAGCCTCATCACAGAGGGATTAGAACCTTGAGCCGATACTGTACCAGCATGCTAACACTGCAGACGACCACAAAAAATCACTCCTTTTGACGCACCTCCAGGTATTACAGTTCTAGGTTGGTAATTTTTGTATAAAACCTTGGCGTCCAGCTCAAATCAGGGTTTAGATTCTCCAATACACTCTCGCATCTAAAAGCCCAAGCACTGAACTGAGAGCTCTCAGCAATTCTTAATCAAATCTCGTCAAATGTATAAGCAGATCAGTTGTAGAAGGAAATCTGGATGGTTAGTTCAACAGCTCTGGTCATGCAAAGAGACTCTTGGGCTTTTCGGGAATCTAGTATGTGCATTATTAGGTATTCTGAGTATGGGTATGTTCTTAAAAAATGGAGCTCTATGAGAAAAGTGCTCTATGGTTTTCCAGACTTTGTCAGATCTCATGCCATTAGCAAGCGAGAGGTTTAAAGCTAAGCTGAAGACACTGTCACACTTCCTCAAAAGCCTCCTCCCTCCCAAGAGATTCCGATCAAATTAAGAAACTGGGAAGGTGGAGGGCACTGAATTAAAGCCGCATTATTGAATGTCATTTTTCTAAAGAGCTAAAGATAGCCACTTTATCTGTTTCTCCAGAAATCTTCACTCCCCATTTGGGGGGATAATTATAATTTTCTGCTTCAGCTGAGATGAGAAAGTAATTTCGGATGCTGATGAAGTGCGTAATCAGTTTGCTCTTCTGAAGGGCAGCAGGAATGACGCAGCACTTCAAACGGACTGGGTAAAAAGCATCTTCTTTTGTTGCTTTTCAAGATAGGGGTTCCAAATGACCAAGTATGGCTACTGCAAAAGCTGCTGTTTTAATTTAATTCAACTTGCCTTTAGCCAAATTGTGCCTCTCAAATACTGTTCCATATCAATAAAATATTTACCGTCTGAAAAGTCAGAAGTCCAGAAATGTATTCTGAATGCCATTTTTTTCTCTCCTTCTGTAAATTATATTCAGTCAAGATGCACCCTGTTCTTATCTGAAGTATTTTGCAAAGCCCAGTTCAGGTGCAGAGACCTGGCATGTTCCTGTTTTTGAAGATGAATGCTAGATAGATATCTATATAATAGGGATCTCTCTGTTATATGAATTATAATAGGGCCAGCGTTGCAGGTTGCACTAAGCCATAATGTGGTTTGTTTAGCTTTGATTTTGCAAGCTGTGGTTAATGCAGCCAATGATGGTTTATGTAAATAATGTTAAATTATGGCTTAGCAGAATATGCAAATCTGTCTTTCCACTTTGTTTTTGAGGTTTTCCTCTCCCTGGGATTGAAGAACTTTTAACAGCACAGGGATTAAAAAGAGTGAAAGAAGGCCCTTGTTCGAATTTAATCTCACCTATTAACTCACCAAGCTTGCTTGCTTGGTTGGTTGGTTGCTTCCTTCCTCCCTCCCTTCCTCCCTCCCTCGCCTCAATACATCATCTGCAAAATGGGAGTAATCATACTGGCATTACAGGGCTGTTGGAAGATCAGAATAAGGTAACGTGTGAAACTGAGAAATAAAACAACTATGTATCGTTAGAGTACCATTCAGATTGATTAAGTCTAAATAACAGACATTTTGCCTGTTGGATGGGGTCTTCCAAGATGTCATTTCAACATTGTATTTTACACCAACGGAGAAGAAAAATTCTCTCTCCCATCCTCCAAGAACCTCTCCATCCTTAAGATGAAACCTAAGAAGGGAGAAATATTGTTTCAGACCTAACCCTAATCTCCACTCTGATTTCAGAAATGCCACTGCTGCGACTGGAGGCTGTGTTATAGCTAAATGACTTAGTGGATAATAAATGTGATTTAGAGCCTTGAGGGGCAGAATTTTGGGATGTCAGTGAACCTCACAAGTCCTATTAAACTGCCATTTAGCCCTCAACAATTACCTCAGGATGTAGATTCAAAACTACTTTCCGCTGGGACCCCCCAGCTATTTATATTTTCTGCCCCTCTGCCAAAATACATTTTCTCACACCTTGGGACCATGCTAAATCTTCCTGCTCCTCTCCCTGCGAATTGAATTAGACCAGGTTTAAATTTATCTTCCCCGGGGATATGAGGCTTCAGAAATCTGCTGACTGACCCACTCTCAAAAGGCTAAGGCACTTTATGGTTGTTCCACTTGTGAAGTGAACAGGCAAGAGAAAAAGATCTTAATGTGGCAAGTGATTCTACTATCACCAGTTGTTAAGTTTCTAAATTAGGTTAACCCTGCTGTAGGGCTTACACTGTATTTATTCTGTGCATCCCACTGCAAAGGGCAGAAAACCATGCTGCCAAAGGTTTGGAAATGGTGGCTCTTTGGGGGATTTTTTGGGGTCAGTCTTGACTCCCGGCAACTCCGTGGACAAGCAGCCTCTGCCATTTGCTTGGCAACATTTCCAAAAGAAATTGCCACTGCCTCCTTCCTAGGGCTAAGAGAGAATGACTGGCCCAAAGTCCAGGGCTTAACCATTAGGCCAAACCTGCTTTCACAGAAGGCTCCAACAGCTGCAAAAAAAGCTGTATGGAGACCCCAAGTAACTCTGGGACTTCCAATTACCTTCTCTGCACTCAGTCATCATGTGGCATGCTTGATTTTGTCTTAGCATGTTGTGTAAGGGCAGCCAATTGTGGATTACACAACCATGGCCGAACTAGGTCTGTATATCAGCCCTATCAAGTTGATAAGATCAGAGTCACCCGTGGGAGAGATGGGCGGCATACAAGCCGAATAAATAAGAAAGAAAGAAAGAAAGAAAGAAAGAAAGAAAGAAAGAAAGAAAGAAAGAAAGATAGATAGATAGATAGATAGATAGATAGATAGATAGATAGATAGATAGATAGATAGATAGATCAGGAAACTGACTCCAGAGGAAGGCTAGAACTCTGTTGCCCCAGAAAGTCAGGGAGGAGCCCGCTGGAGCCATTTCCTAATACTGTCTCCCTTCCCAGGGCTTCAGAAATGCTTCTGTCCTTGTTGTCTTAGGAATGGCTTCTGAATATTCCCTTCAAGGGCATCTCCATGGCTCTCTACTGTCTTTAGACTCACACAAATTCATCAAGGAAAGGGAAAATAAGGTTGGATAATATAATTTGCCTGGTCATGGTAATGATGCTTAGCATAGGTGAGATCTGAATCTGGTCACAGAAGGCTGCTTTTCACGTTACATTTATTTAGGTGTACCCTTAGATTTTCTTCCTTTAAAGATGCACCTAAAAATGTAAACACACATATATAATTCACAAGCATTCATCAGTGAGACCAGTTTCATTAGCTCTAATCAGAAAACAAACCTTTTTCTTTCCCAGAGCAGGAACTCAATTCAATGAACTCCTACAGACAACATGGAAAGAGTCACGCTACAAATAAGTTTATTGTCTTTCTTGCTACATTAATGAAAAACAAGTATCCACCAGTTTAAAAGAGAGAGCGCATGCATGCGGAACGCCACAAGGAAATCAACAACATCAGCAATGTAATAAGCTGAAGAAGGGAACTTTAAAAAAAATAAATTTCAACGCAAAAATAAACACTTCTAAGTATGTTCACTAAAGGTGAAGCAAGTGAGAAAAGGCAGAAGAATTCCAGATCACCTGTGCTGAAGCTTTAGTTTGGATCCAAGAGAATTAAGGAAAGTGGGTCCTCTGCTTTTTGGCCTTTGAGCAACCGGCAGGTCCACGGGGGCAACTCAGAGAAGAATCAAGGCCCACAAAGATCATCAGGGTTTATACATCCACTCCGTCGCTGACAGGAAGCCTTGCCCACAACTTCCCTGTAATTTAAGCATGCATTTTTTCCTTCAATAACTCAAAGGTCCTTCCTCAACCCTGGTTCTGGCTACTGGGATTGTGAAAGGGGCTTTGGAGAAATGAACTGGTCCCACTTTCTTGGGCCAAAAAGAAGCAGGGTGTGAAAGGTATGCACCTAAAGGGGTGGGAGCCTGTGTGACTTGAACCTGGCTGGTTCTGTGGCATGATGTCACATCATCTACAACCTATCCTAATCCTGTTTTTTGTCTCTGCTTCTCCGGAATGATTTGCCTCTTAAAGACATTTGAATGCAACTGCATCCACAAACCTTCCCACTGCTTTAGCCACACAACTGGCTTTCAACTGATGGGAGGCCTGCCCATCCATCAGCAAAATAAAAGATTTTCTCTCCTAAGAAGGAACAAATGAAGCGACCTCCAATCCCAACACTATTCTATTTAAGCCAAGAACCTTTTTAACTAAACTCCTGAACCATGGCAATTAGAAATCTAATTTGCATAGAAACAATTGTAAACTTCAACCAACATGTGCCACAGACTTGCTCAGGGAAGAATTGCTCTTTGGGATGACCTAGATACCAAGCAGAGAGCTTTCACAAGACCAGGCGGTCTTCTCCCCCTTCCTGAATGACTTGGCCAACGGATGTTTGGTTTTGTTGCTTGAGAAAACAGTCTTTTTTGCACTCCATGAGCAGCTGCAGATCTCGCCACATTTTTACTTGCTTCAGATTGGGGCCATGACTTTCTCGGACAGCCTTTTGCTTCTCTCGCAGTTTCTGATATTTAAAAAAAAAAAAAAAAGATGCTGTTTAGGGAGGGGTGGTGATCTGTTTGTTTGTTTATTTACTTGCTGTCCCTATGTGACCCCATTTCAGAGGTCTTGGGAAACTAACAATGTGACATAAAATGAAATAGAACTTCAAGTAGATATAAAAAAATGACAAAATCAGAAAAGATTTTTAAAAAGTATAGAAATGTCATATGCCCATGAACTCCATCTTTGGTTATCATACATCCTCCTCCTGGGCAAGAAAGAACAGGTAGGCCCTCATTCTTTTGTGAGGGATGAAGCTGACTAAATCTCTACCAAAATAGGAGTCCCAAAGAATGAAATCAGCAAGTGAAAGGGCCGATTTCCAAGGCCCCATCAGGTGGCAACCCTGTAGGAATGGGACCTAGAAGTTGACCATGTAATTGGAAGGCAGATGAAGAAGAGAAAGGGAAAGCAGTCCCTCAACCAAATCCAGAGCGAAATCAGATTTTAAAGTATTCCCAATGCCTTCATTCCTTTTTTTGTTTTTGCTTTCCTTTCTTATCATTTTTAAAATATTTATGTTGTGTATTAAACAGCAGCAGAAAAAGGTTTAAATGTTATAATGCCTCAGCCTGGGCTCAAGACTGCAAAGCAAATTAAACCATATTTTTGAAATTAAGACTAACTTATATTTAAACTTACGAGACAGACTGCATTTGGAAGTATAACATGTACGTGACTAGTTTATAAGAACATTAAAGTTGTTATCAAAAATTAATTCTTTTTACATAATGTAGGACTACTCCAAAACCAACTGCAAACAAAAGGATATAAAGTGGATTGTAGGTCCTTTTTGTAAAAACAGCACACCACTAAATACTGTATTTATCTGCAGCCAACTGCTGTGTGTGCTACTGATCTGGCAAAGCAATGCCTTATTTCTGAGGTTTCTGTAGAATATGCCTTTTGTAAATGATAGTCAAATAGCTTAGGCATTATCTGTATGAAGCTGACTTCGGAACTGTTTACATAGTTTATTTTAAGAAGACAACTTATCTGTGCCTAATACTTAATGGTTCTTAGGAGCTGTGTCTACTAGGCATTTTCTAAACAGAGGAAAAAGAACAACAAAAAAAATCAACAATATTAATCCACCACTACCTTTCCAAGGTTCTCTTGTTCTGTGATCATCTTGGAATACTGATCCCTAAAGAAAATAAGCAATTTAAGAACAAGATTTATACAGCATTTTTAGAGTGTTTGAAGCACTGTGTGTGTGGCGTTCTTTGTCTTACAACAGCTCCTTAAGGTAGATTATACAAGGCTACAAACAATATGGTCCTTGGAACCATGGAAAGCCCACCCGCTTTCCCTACCATCTACTGTCCCTCTCCCCACTCTGCTAGGGTAGGGAACTGATCACTGGTTTCCTGCTGATAATGGCCGTGGGAAGCCAGAAAGTACAGCAAAGTCCCAGGAAGGATGTGGGGAAGTCTCCCTGGTCCTCCCTTCCTCTCAGGAACCCTGCTCAGAACCCACTGCCTTCCCAGAAAAGGAAATCCAAGAAAGGCGAGCTGAGTTGCAAGAGATAAGAAAGAAGCAACAGGGCTTCCCATCTCCCAGCAATGAATACTATCAAAGAGGTGTAAGTAGTTTTCTCATATAGTGTCAGCCTTACCAGGTAGACCAGACAGGAAACATGGCCAGATAAGCTAATTCTACTTTATTGTAAGGCTACATCGACAGAATCTTGCAAGTCTGAAAGTACCATTCTCCTGCTATCCCCTTTACAGCCCGATAACTTAGGGAGGGTTTCTCCTGAGCCTCTTGCTCCTCCCACCATGCAGCTGTGGGCTATGCTCCCTCTTATCTGACCATTCCCTAGGCAATATCTCTTTGCCCAGTCCCCCAAGGTCATTCCCACATACCACTACATATAGTGAGAAATGAGGTGACCCCCTTCTCCCTCCACTACTAAGACATGCAGACATTCACTCCATTCTCAAGTTCCAGGGTGTCTCCACCCGTGTCCCCCCACTGCACATTCCATGGGGACATGAAATTTGCGTCAGGAGCACATTTTCCTCTTCAAGGCCAGGATTCTTCTCTTTGTTTCTGTTGGCAGCAGGAGGGTCATCACCTTCAAGAGCATTACCTTATGAGCTCTCCAAATATTCGTAATCCCAGATTTGTTTGTTTTTATGCTTTTAAAAAGGGACAGGCTCTTGAATGTCTGATATTTTCTTTTTCTGGCTATTTAAATGATGCTTGGAAAGAATGCAACTTAATTTTGAAAGTTAATACTATTTTTAGAGAACCAAATTAACTTTTCACATTCCTGACTGCTGACTCCATGGAACAGAGATGGGGTAGGGAATCAAAAGAATTAGGGAACTTTTGGTTCCCAACTTCAGAGCTGATGCTTATGGGTTGTCGGAATGCAGCTTCCATTCCAGAGCTCACAAAAAGGAGGCCTAGCCCAAAAGGATTTCTAGAAACTCACTTTCAAGTCTGCACATGCTTAGAACTTTTGCCTGTCAAAACCCTCTTTCCAAAAGAAACTCTGATTGCTTTGGGATTTGGGGGCTCACTCACTTGGTCCAAATATGATGTCCTTCATGAACTGGGTGGTGAATTTAATAGAAATGTAGGAATGCTACAGCTGAATATGGTGGGCATGTGAAACATGGAAACAACTTTTCCCTCGCTATATATGAGTGCTTCTCCCAGTTTCAAATCTGGCGCAGAACTGGGCAAGTGAAAGGCATGAGAACCAACAAGGCCAGTTAGGACTTGGTGGACAAGCCCTGGGAAGGATCCAAAAACAGACTCTGCCTCTTCTTTCTTAGTCTTACTCACTCCAAACTCTTAACAGGCTATCCTTCGATACTCCGATAGTTGCCCTTTAAAACATATGTGAAGTCTACAAAAGAATCACTTTTTAACCCAGCTAAGCAAGTGTGCTTCAAGAATCCTGCATGTCAAGCCAAGCCAAGCCAAATCCTAAACAAAATAAACTACATAAACACTAAGCCGAGAAATACGGGATCAGGAACTCATCCAGCCGACAGGTTCTCGGCATTCATTCATTAACTTCTGCCACAGCTGCCCTCTTGCTCAGCCTTAGTCTTTCTACCGTTCCTCCTCTCCACCTCACTTCTTTCCCCCGTTTAGACAGATAATAAATCCACTGCAAATATTTGGAGATGTAATCTGCTCCTTGTCCCTGGCTGCCCTTCAGTTTAACCACCATAAACGGAGAGCCGTGAGATAACCAAGTGACATAAGTGATATTTTGCACTTTATATTTCTCTCTGTGGCTACGGGCATCACAATGCCATGACACAAACCCACCGCTTGCTTGCCAGTGTCAGACACCGGGACAGAAGTACGTAAGGGTGAATATCACCACCCCTGGGGGGACTTTTTGACGCAATCTCCATCGGCTGCAGACCTCTGTGGCTCAGCCTTCTTCCCATATTGAGAGAATATGAAGGAGACTCCCAGGCAACAGTGAGACTAACAGCCCAGGAACGGAGCCAGAAAACAGCGGCTTGGTAAACAGGAGGAAATTTACTACAGAGAAATTTCTTGCATCTTGTGGCTTATTGTCTTGTTCAATAAAACTTGGCTTAAAGAACAACAGCATTGCACTGTATGCGAATCCAACCAAGGATCGCTCAAAGCCTAAGAATGCCACTTCCGTTTTTAAGAATGCTTTGGAAGTCACCCATACTCCATTATTATTATTATTATTATTATTATTATTATTATTATTATTATTATTATTA